TGCAACAAATCTCGCCGAAGCAACGCATTTTGTAGCCATTTAAGCTACTTGCATAAATGTAGCTGCAGCCGACTGCCTCCTGCCTCCTGCCGCCCGCCTCCTGCTGCCGCCTGCCGGCTGGCAACCCCCATCACAAGAAAATGCGCAGACCCACTGAGCTGAGCTCCAAGGTGGGCGACTCCGAAAACAAAGCGAGGTGTGAGCCCTTTTCTGGATGGGTAATGAGTGCTTCACTGTGGCTTTGACCGAGCGACGGGCCAAGGGCTGGGCGGGACGGAGCTGGGCTGGGCTGGGCTTGTCCAATGCTGCAGCTCCTGCCGCTCGACGTTAGCAAATGAATCTCATTTGCATTTAAATTAGGAATGAAGCTCGATTTGTTGTTGTTGTTGTTGTTGTTGTTATTGTTGTTGCTGCAACTCCTCTAACGTTACATGGGTCTAGGTCTGGTTCTAGGTTCTGGACGTTGGGGGCGATTTTTAATGAAGACAGCGCAGCTACTTAGGCGCCCATGCATGCATGCATGTCGCCACCTATCGCGCTCCTTGTTTTTCCCCAACTACCAGTCCCTCTCCCTCTCTCTCTCGCTCTCTCTCTCTCGCACACACTCTCACACTGTGTTTGCATTGGAAATCTGGTTATAGAACTTTCCTACTTAGTTGAGCTGCGTTGGGCAGCTCATGGCTTTTCGGACAAGTTGCTCGATTGCATGCGAACTAATGGCCAACAGTTTGGGACAAATATGCTGGCAAATAACGCAGACAGCAGCCGGACGGTGGGAGGGGAGGTGGGGGAAACTCAACTAAATGGGCGACGTTATGGCAAATATGTTAATAACCTTTTGCGAGCGTGTGGGCGCTGGGGGCGGCTCGACAAAATTTTAATTAGAAATGTTACATGAGGCGCACGTTTCGGGGCTATCCATATGCTGGTCAGTTATGGCCATGCTTAGACAACATTAAGGTTAAATGTGCACTTCGAATGCCTAAACAGACGGAGCAGAGCTATGTATGACCCAGCATAGCTCATATTACGATCAAAAACAGAACAGCTATTACACTAGAACATTGTTAATTAAGCTCAAATAAAAAGAGGCTTGTGAGTCTCTACTTTACATGCGGCCAGCTTCTATTTTTATAGTTCTGCAACAGCTTAAAATTATTTAAGCATATGATAAATCTATTGAAAATTGTTGAAGCTTGCAACTTGAGTTCAGTTTCAATCTTGAGAAAATTTGAATAATATTTATTAATTTGAATATCACATAATCATTTAATAATTTTATAATAAATAATAAACTTAAATCATTTTATAATAAATGGAAATCAAAATCACCAATTTGTAATTATAAAGTACTCAACTGAATTATAATTAAAAGAATTAAAAATACTATATTGTTGTTTTTAATATTTATGACCTTGATGAAGAGATGAGATGAAGAATTTTTAAATCTAAAATAAAATCAACCTTTTAAAAAAATAAAAATAAAAAATATGTATATGAAAGAAAATAAATATATAA